AATATCAACTCCTATTTCCTTAATTATATCCTGATTAGTGATTCTTTGATTTAAAAGTATAATAATTATAGTAACTAAATATTGTATGAAATTGATATTCAATAATTTAATGTTGTAAATTTTACGGATATTTTATAAAAATAATAAAGCAGTTGTATATTTCTTTACTTTTAACGCATATAAAAATTTAAAGGCCTTGATGCAATACTTTTCAATCAGAAATTTTTGTTACTTATGAATAAATACACTGGACGACAAGGAACTTTCTTCAGAAGCAAAAATATACTTTAATAAAAGTGTAATTTGTGCGTCTTATAAAATTTAGATTATAATTGTAAAAATCCATTGTTATATTCAGGTAAAACTAAAAATAATTTTTTTAGAAATGAGATTTATATAGCAACATGTTACCAAAAAATTTGGAATTGTATAGATTTGTAGTAGCACACACAAAGGAGTAAAAAAATTAATAAATTACAAAATAAAATTATTTAATTTTGTAGTTGAATACTTTTATTATATCAAATCTAATTCGACAATAAATACTTTAAAAATATTAGAAATGAATGATTTTAATTATCTATATGGAGAACATGAGATAAGTAACTGTTTTATTGATAAACTAGAATTTTTTTTTTAATTTTTGAGGATAATATCTTCAACTAGATACGAATTGTAATCATTTGACGTATCGTTGAAAAAAGTAGATCAAGTGAAAATTGGAAAATAAATTAGTCACAAAAAAAACTATATAGTAAAATAATTGTAATATGAATAAGAAATTTCTTCTCGCGAGCGGCGACTACAGTGATCAAGGATCCCCTTGATCTTTGTTAAAGTTATTGAATCTAAATGAGATAAAAATTAAATGAATTGAACATTTTTTTCTAACTCAAAAAAGAATTAAGAAAACAATTTAATATAAACTAATTCAAATTTCAAAATTTTATTTTTTGAAAATAGAAGGGAAAAAATTTAAATAAGTTTAACTTTCTAAGCTTTATCAATCAGATTTATATAATATTTATGAAAATCTGTGTGCTCCCCTTGTAAGGTATTTTAAAATAAAATAATATGTAAAATCGACAATGTTTTCACGGAAGTTATACGTTTTTCTTTTACATTGATGTCTGTTTTCACCACGAAGACAAGTCCAGAGGTCAAAGATCACACTTTTTTCAAAATAAAATATATTACATAAGCTTTAATTTAAAGTATAAATACAAGTGTCAGTATTTTCGGAACATTTTCAAAAGTTAAGTTGAAAAAGTTAATTTTTTGAATAAAGGTTGCCATTTTGAAACCCCTTTGTAGACAGGTAAAGGATCAAAAGTGCTCAAAAATATATCAAATAATAGGTAAATACCTAAGATATTTATTAAAAAAATTATATTGATTTGATCATTTTTAAAAAAGTTATGGCAGTTTTAAGAAAGAAAAATTGGAAAAATGACGATAATTACCAATTTTTAAAGTTGTAATTTTTTAGGAATTTCCCCCATTTACGTGGAATGAGGGAATTATTTTTAATTTTTGAGGGTAATATGTTACCAACTAGATACAATTTGTGATATTTTGACGTATTTTTCATCAAAATCGGTCCAGTGAGAGATGAGATTGAGTAGTAACGAAAAAATAATAATAAAAACATCATAGTAAAACTAATACCCTTAGTTTCTTATTGAAGCTAAAAAATGGTATCATAGTGAGTTCGCGGCACAGTGTAGACGTGGCATAATTATAGTGGATTTATATCATAAGTATAGATGATATTTGACAGTGATTCAAATCTCTATCATAAGAAACGCTTCGATCCAAATCTGTAAATAGTGTATTATCTGATACACTATCAACTGAATCACGACGGATTTTACTTCGACTTTAATAAAATATAAAACATGGTAAATATCTGATATTATTGATAGTTAAACATTTATATATATATATTTTAGCTTCGATGCGAAGCGGAGAAGGTATTAATTTTACTATGATGTGTTTTTTTTTTTTTTTTTTTTTTTTTTTTTGCC